AGGTAGATTATTTTTATGCGTAATTTTTTTCTGAAATTTTGTAGTAAATTTGTCCCTTACAGAGGTAGTCCTATTGATGAGTGTGTTACAGCCATACTCTACATCCTGAGAAGATAATATATCATCCCACTTTAAACTAGCTATTTCCTCATTGAACTCTACTAGCTTTCCTTTAGGTATACAACAGAAAACATTAGAATTTGTCGCATTGTTTTTAAACCTGTTTTTGGTCAGTTTCCGAGCAACCAAGGTTAAATTGTGATCAGATAACCCAGTGATCAAATTATAACTCTTGATTATCCTTTCAGGTTTGTTTGTGAATATTAGGTCTAACTGTGTCTTAGAGGATTTAGCAATTCTTGTGGGTCCTTTAATTATCTGACTTAAAAGATATTTATCAGCAATAGTTTTGAGTTTTTTCCTCTTTACTTTGTCCTCCCAGTTCAAGTTAAAATCACCCATAAGAATTATTTCTTTGTTATGATTACATTCCTTTAAAATTTCTGTAAGTTGTTTATAAAATATATCATTTACTAAATTGTTATTCCACATCCTGCCCAATTTTGTCCTGCCAACAATGTGCAATTTGAAGGCAATGAAAACAGTGTTAAAATCACTAAATTGATAATAATAATTAAAAAAAAAAGAAAAACAACAGCACAATGTTAACTGGTACGGAGGACAAACAAATATTCACTAAATATATCACATTTTGCATTTTTTAACAACAAAAAATACTTCAGCGTCAATAATGTTGACTAATTACTTCAAATCTAGTTCTGATGTTCTGAGATAACTTACCTATAATACGTCTAACACATGAGTAGGGTTGAAAAGGGGTGGAAAATTTCCGGTAAATTTCCAGAAACTTTCCAAAAATCCCCAGAATATTCCAAAAACATTCTGGAATGTTTCCGAAATTTTCCACCTTTTTGCAACCCTACACACGAGTAGATTGGAGAGTATTTGTGTGCTCCAGCCCATTATTCACTGTCCTGTCTAATGGGGTTAAGTGATATTATAAGACATCACAGTTTCCTGCAATGGGCTGAACAGACCGTGTCACTATTTTAGAGGCTGAGGCAATAGAATTGGCCTCTAAAGATTTCCCTTGCCACTGGAATAAAAGACCAAGTTGCTTTGACCAAATATGGCTGCTTCCAAATACTGGCAAGAGAAACAAACCAGCAGTGCAGATCTCCTAAACGGGAGCGAGCGTAGGCCACCACGCACACGCCGGGACGTGAATCCAACACCTGTCACCTATTCAAACGGACACACTGGGGAAACCGTAAACTAGTGTTATGAATTTCATTGATGGTCAACAGACATTAAAGTACTGAATAGAGACATCTGACTGACGGATCGAGCCTGTTAAAAGCCGGTGTTAAAACAGGTGCCACTAGAACGTGAATATAAATCTGTAAACACACGCTCCACACATTGAATGCAGAACCTTCGTTTTGTCTCACCAGTAAATGTTCCTCTTGCGTGTGTTGATTTTAGTGTTACTAGAGTAGCTTGTGCCCAAAGAATGACAGAGCACATCCAGTTCCTTCAGAGGAATTCAGCACCACCACCAAGACATTCATACAATTCAAGTTAGATTAACTCATATTTTTAAGTTTATATCATGACCACGCCTCCTCACACTAGTGCTGCGAGTCAGTTAACGACACCGTTTTGTCACTGTGTGATTGTGTGTGAATTCAACCAGCTGTGGATGAGAAGGTGGAAACTTCGTTTTAGATAAGTTAGGTGTATGGAAGTTATTTTCCGCCATTTACCTTTTATCGCTCTTTCTTTTTCTCGAGAGACTGTTTGTGATCGGCGAAAATTGTTGTTTGTCTTAACAATGGGACATTTCTCATCCGTTAGCTAGCTAGATTTCTCACGCGCCTGCAGCGGACAAAACCGCGCTTGAACCCCGGACCAGCGAGAACGACTTATTTTCGTCTTTTCCTTTTTCTTTTTCACTCGATGTTGTTTATGAGGAGTGTAAGTTAATGTTACTCCTACAGCAGCCCTGATTGCAGCGGAGGAGAGACGATGGTGGCGCTAATATGGTGAGTGCAATAATTTAACTCCACGTTTAATAGGCATAGCTGCTGTTTGAAAGAGTAAGTTTAAATTAATTAATGGTATAAATACAAAAACGGATGAATATACTAATTGTTCTATCTAGGTTCAGAGCCCTCTTAATGACTATCTTGTTTTGGAAGGAAGAAGAAATGGAATTTAAAATAAATAAGTGTAAGTATGGCCCTCATAACTGTG